GCGAACGAGCACATATAGGCGATCGGCGGTCTATGGACCCGCTGATCGCCTATATGTGAAACACCCGGTACCGGGTGTTCGCATTGGACGGGTCTTTTCTGCCCGTGCGTGCCCGCAGATGCTGCAGTGCCGTCCGTCCGTTTTTTTACTACGGGCGGACGGCAAGAGGTTAAAATGTTACGTGTGCTGTAACGACAGTTTGTAGTTTTCATTGGAAGCCCTTGTGATGGTGACAACGCAGAAGCACAAATCTGAGACTGGCAGAATGTTGTCACCCTGTAACGGGAGGTGCTTAAATGAGCTTTCATGGTGAAATCACAAGGGATTATATTAATCAAAGCTGCAGATTTCAAAATATTCTGTATGACGTGGATATGACATTAGCATGTTAAAGACCCTATGGGATTTAAGTGATTGATTTTGCTGTACTTTTGGAGTCATGTGACAATCGGGTATAATTGCTTCTTGTAAAGCTCAATCTACTTCTAGTAATGATAGACCGGGGACAGAGATTTCCCTGAGCTCACTTATACGTTGGCCTGAAGGTCAGTAATGAGGGGATAATTGGATTATTTCTGCCTGGGGCTCTTCCTCCTCCATGTTTCCTCCTATTACATACACAGGAAATGAGCAGAGATCATCTATACATTCCCATCACTGACATGATCTGTTTTCTCTTCTGCAGCAAGTGGGCCAGCTCTGCAGAGTCATCTTTTCCTTTCTGAAGGAGCAGAAAAAGGTAATTTGTACTGAGCTTAAACGTTGCCTGGGATATAAAAGTATTTAAAACAGCTAAGGAGCTACTGACAGGACATAATCTGTGTGCAGATAAATATTTACTCCTGGGAGCAGATACAGTGAATGGAATCTATGACTGAATAATCTTTATTTTATAAGGGGCTCCCACCATCCCTGTGCTGAGTTCCCGGGTCTGTACATGTGCTGTGCCCATTATGAGGGGAAAGAATCACATCTTTTGCCCTGAGGAAGGGACCCTGCGTGGCCCCGAAACGTCGGCTGTTTGACTATTGTGACACGTATGTCCAATAAAAAGGACTTATCTATTTGAAATCAATCTGAGTGCTGGTAACCTATTCTTTCTACTTTGTGCATTACACGGTGCCATCCGTGGGAGTTACTGCAAGCACCTTATCTCTACTGGCCGGGACTGCTGAAAGGTGTGCGGAGAGCACCCTCACCAATTACAACCCATTATGAGGGGCTCGCACCATCCCTGTGCTGAGTTCCCGGGTCTGTACACCTGCTGTGCCCATTATGAGGGGCCCCCACCATCCCTGTGCTGAGTTCCCGGGTCTGTACACCTGCTGTGCCCATTATGAGGGGTTCCCACCATCCCTGTGCTGAGTTCCTGGGTCTGTACACCTGCTGTGCCCATTATGAGGGGCTCCCACCTTCCCTGTGCTGAGTTCACGGGTCTGTACACCCGCTGTGCCCATTATGAGGGGCCCCCACCATCCCTGTGCTGAGTTCCCGGGTCTGTACACCTGCTGTGCCCGTTATGAGGAGCTCCCACCATCCCTGTGCTGAGTTCCCGGGTCTGTACACCCGCTGTGCCCATTATGAGGAGTTCCCACCATCCCTGTGCTGAGTTCCTGGGTCTGTACACCTGCTGTGCCCATTATGAGGAGCTCCCACCACCGGGTCTGTACACCCGCTGTGCCCATTATGAGGAGTTCCCACCATCCCTGTGCTGAGTTCCTGGGTCTGTACACCTGCTGTGCCCATTATGAGGAGCTCCCACCATCCCTGTGCTGGGTCTGTACACCTGCTGTGCCCATTATGAGGAGCTCCCACCATCCCTGTGCTGGGTCTGTACACCTGCTGTGCCCATTATGAGGGACTCCTGGCACATTGTCCATAATATGAAATAAATAATCCAGAAGGGAGAGGTTTGGTAAGGTCTGGATCCCGGTGCCAGTGCTGTAAGTTCTCATTGCTATCCATGTAGCTCTAGTATTGGGAAGATTATGTTCATTTTCATGGTTTTCGGTGTTTCTGACACGTGTTCTGTTTATGATGCAGGTTGACCAGTTCACGTTGCAGTTAGAAGACTTCGCAAAGGACAACGGGATCAGTTTGGGCCCCCTGAGGAACATAGTGAGGAGCGTCCTGCTTGTACTGAATGGTGAGGCTTAGACAGTACAGAGAATGCTGGGAGTGTTCTGATTGGGTAGACTTGAAAGGCGCCAGTCTTGGATGCTGTTATGGCACATTCCACAACTCAGGAACAATGGCATCCCCCATGGACATCATTGGAGGGGTAGTGCTGGGACCCCCGGAGTCATCCTATAGGAATAGGAGTTGTAGTAGTATTTGGACGGGGTATCTGGATTCTGGGCTGGTAGCTATTCCAGGCCAAATGATTTCCACAGCTTTCTTGGTTTGTAACTAAATGGAGGCCATTGTCCAGATATTCATTTAGTTTGGCCCAGGGGATGGGCAACTCTGGCCCTCCAGCTGTGCTTTAACTACAAATCCCATGCCTCTGGGAGTCATGTCTGTAAAGGTGCCCATACACTGTGCGATTATCGCACGATAATCGCGGGAATCGTACGATTTTCGGCTAGTTTTTAGCATGATTGTAAGATCAATGCCGCACGGGCCGGTGTGCTCACGCGCACACTGCCCGTTCAGCATTGCGGTCATCGGAAGCCCACCCCTCAGCGGGGCCGGCTTGAGATGATCTCAAGTACGATATGCCTGTCCAAGATGGGCAGATCGTAAGTTTTTTTAAATTACTTTACAACCATCGCAAAGACTAAAGTCTTGCGATGGTTGTAAAGTGTATGGCCACCTTAACTGTCATTCTTGCAGTGCCTCATTGGAGTTGTAGTTCCACAACAGCTGAAAGGCCAGAGTTGCCAACTCCTGATTTAACCCTTTCTTGCTGCTGGCTCCCGCTGTCTCGTTAAGGGGTTTCAACGCAGACCTTGACTCACTCTGGTGACTTATCCTCACATGACGACACCCCCCCCCCACCACCACCACCACCGATTCTCAAAATTGTGCCCCTTCTTCTACAGCCTTCTGGCATATTGAGGTCGCATATCTCAGAAGGCTGCAGGAATGGGGGAAAAAGCTGGAGGGTGGACCCGGAGAGGCGAGTCATCATGGGCTGGCTGTCTGAACCCAGAAGAGACAGCTGGCTCCGGATGGCAGAAGAAAGATGGTGGCCTGTGTCAGCCAAGCAGCGGCTCGCAGCAGGTCAACACCGCATTCGAGCTGGAGGACGAGGGTAGACGAGCCCCATAGACTCTACCACACAGGCACAGCGGGCAGTAGGAGGAGTTCAGCACGGGATGTAAGCACTTCCTGGAGGCCATCTGGAGGCACCAGTTGTTTGTAAGTAGAATTCAGCGGAGGGGGTGGCGGCGGCGGGCTCTTTAAAGTCAGGGGAGGGCAGCAGATCGAATAATTACGCTTTCTATGAAAATTCACTATTGCTTTAAGTTTTCTTCTGCACTGATTACTATTTGTGCTCCTCTCTGATCTAGCTGCTCTGAAAAGAAACCTCAAAGCAGAAGAGCTGCGAGCCGACCTCATTGTCCTAGGTGAGAAGACTGTGAAAATCGTGTGTGTGTATATATATTATATTATACCCAAGTGTCTGAGACGTGTGCTGACTTCTCTTCTGCTGTACACAGGGCTCGATGAAGACAAGGCTGCCTATTTTGCAGACCAGGTGAGTGAATCGGGCCCCTGTGTATGGAAAATGAAACGGCCTTCCAGTAATGACCTGCAGCAGGAGCCATAGTGACAATGTTCCCTTCTAAGAGAACCAGCAGATCAATGTGTACTGTAGGAACGCTGGGCCCTTTGTGAGGATAGCTTGTTTGACATCTGAACTTTGTACCTGGGACAGGTGTCCCCATTGGCAGGTTTCTTCTCACTTCCTGCTCAGTTGACAATACCTGGTCCTTTTGGACGGGTCGTAGGAATGTCTGTTTTGATCCATCTACACGCTGACCTCTGTGGTCATGTAGGGTACATGATATGAAGTCACATACTTTTCATCTTTGTATTCCTTTTTATTTTAGTGGAGTCATGATGCAGCAGCGTTGTCACGCCTGGCGGTGGGTCGAACGCTCAGTATTAACCAGTTAGTGGACATGGAATGGAAGTTTGGAGGTGAGTCAATTTCACGCGATTGTTAGGCGATACTGCGATGTCACTGAACACTGTCAGCGCTGCAGCACAACTGATGAGCTCCTCAGGAGACCTGACTTTTTCTTCTACTGGAGTTCAGCAACACTTCCGGGTCTTGTCCCTGCCCCATCCTGTGATTGGGCAGTGAAAGGAGAAGCAGCAGACTGATGAGGGGAAAGTATCTTCCTGCGCTCTTTCCCTAAGGTCTCGTTCACACCTAGGCGTATTGCATATGCGCGTCTGTCGCACGTTTTTTACAGCGATTCGCGGTAAAAAGTCGCGCGACCGTTGCGCATTTCCGAACGCTACTTGGCTGTATCCCAATGGAAACGCGCAACAAAACGGCCCAAAGTAGTACCTGTACCTTGTCAGGCGTGGGCCGTTTTGTAGCGCGTTAGGGACGGGCGGAAATACGCCAAGGTGGGAACGAGACCATTGAATACAATGGGATTTATATTTTTGAGCGTTTTGTAGAGCGTTCGTCGAGCGTAGAACGCGCTACATAACGTTCAGGTGTGAACGAGGTCTTAACAGTATATGTGCTGTATGTACAGGTGGGTACTAGTAGTGACCACGGCTGGCTGCGTGAACAGTTTAGGAAGCACCAGCGCACCATTCAAAAAGGTATCAGCAAAAGTCCAACAAATTGCCATTCAAGTTACAAGCGCTTTCGGGGCCTCAAGGGGTCCCCTTCTTCAGGCTCCGAATGAATGATAAAGGGGACCCCTTGAGGTCCCGAAAGCGCTTGTAACTTGAATTAAGTGGGTTACTGGCACAATCACTAGCGAAGAATAAAGAAAAAAGTGACTGGAAGAAAATGAATGCGACCGTCACATCCAAGAGCTCATTCACACCAGCCACGCAAGGCAGTGTCAGCGCACAGACCAGGCAATTTACTATATGATGAAATGATTTTACACTAAAGCTCTGCATTTGACGTGAGCTAAATAAATCTATATTTTTTTGGCACTGCGCGTTGCAATACGCTACTCCAGAATACTGCAACACGCTGTGCGCAATGTACTCCAGTGCAGAGAGTTACAATGTTATTTTGAAACATTTTAAATTATTTTTTTTAAATGAGAACTATGAGGGGGGTGCTTTTCACTCACCTCATAGTTCTAGCCGACCTGTGACAATGAGACTGTCACAGGTCGGCTCAGTAGATCGGGAGGTGAGCGAACACATACCGGCGTTCGCTCACCTTTCGATCCTGTCACTGCAGAGAGACGTGACAGAGGAGGGGCTGGATTCCCCATAAATGAAGTGTGATGCATTGTAACACATCATGGCGCCCCTTCATAAAGCACACCAGCAGGAACACATTATACATATCCTGTTTCCCCGAAAATAAGACCTAGTTGTGACCATTCGGAGGGCCGGTGGTTGCATAAGGGGGAACTTGAAGAGCCGCAGGAGAGAATCAGCGGTACCAACAAAGCCAGCGCTAGAGGAAACTAGGCGGCACCGGAGGGAGCAGAGCCGCATAAGCCGATGCTTCCTCTATAGTGCCGGCGGAGTGATATCAAATGCACTGCGCCTGTGGGGAAACGATAGTGAAAGTGCGCTTTGTTCATTCTGGCCAGCGATTGGTTAGCAAATTGCTCTTGGAAAGGTACGGCACACCTGATTGCCTTGATCACCATATTTTTGTACATGAATAAGTGCGGATTGTTGTACATAAAAAAAAAATAAGACCTACCCCGAAAATAAGACCTAGTGTGTGTTTTTTGAGCCCCCAAAAATATAAGACAGTGTCTTATTTTCGGGGAAACACGGTAGCACTGCCGCACAACTGAATTGCTCCTCAGGCTGCTTCTCCATCTCCTAATGTTGAGCTCTGCTGTACAGGGACTGTAAGAAGGTGATACCAGGTCACATTGGGCTGCTTGCACTTGAAAAAAGATGTTTAAAGGAGAACTATGGGGTCAGAGCTTTTCCCCAGAGTTCTCTTAAGGGTAACGGGAGGACACAAACTAGCGTTCTCGAGTGACCCAAAGCTCAGTATACCGCAAGCTACAGCTCCCAGTATAGAGACGCCGCAGCCGGAACGGATCCAGACAATTCTGTCTGGATCCACCTAGCTGCGTGAGTGACAGCTGGCTCTGCCTATCTAGAGGCAGAGCCAGGTGTATCCGCCCCATCCCCCGTCCATTTCGCCAGTCTGCGCTGGAGGGTCGGACAGGGGAGGGGGGGAATCCCTGCAGGGAGCCGTGAGTGACAGTCACGGCTCTCTGTGCGGATAAATCGAGAAGTGAGCGAGCAACGGTATGTGTTCGCTCACTTCCCGATCTACTAAGCCGACCTGTGACAGTTTCATTGTCACAGGTCTGCTCAGATTATGAGGCTGAGTGAAAATCACTCGCCTCATAATTCTCCTTTAATGCTGTATTATTGTATACAGAGCTGCGTTAACTACTTTCTGTATGGAGCGACAGCTGTTGTGCATTGCCACCCCGACGCATGCTCCCGTGGTGGAGATTACAAGTGGCCATGCCAGCACATGTATTGCTCAGGCATGGTCCACCGCTGTCACCATCGGAAAGCCAGTCCAGATCAGCGATGTGCAGTTGATGCTGGAGTCAGGGCATGCAGATGGGAAGTGGCTGGAAGAGAATGGTGGAGATCAGCAGAAGGATGGATTCATTTCTTCATGTAAGGACATGGTTATGTATGTTTTATGTATTCCAAGTGTTATGTGTGTTTTATGTATTCCAAGTGCGTTTTCTGTTTCGGGGCTCTAACTCTGTGTATCGTCTCTTGTAGTTACTGCAGCCAGTAGTGAACTGGAAAAAGCAGGGAGCATTTTCTTGCAGGTAAGTCTCTCCCTAACCACTGGTGACTACCTACTGCCCAGCATTTTTCTTACTCAGCCATTAGACATCGCTGCCATATCCGTCCTTTATGAACCAATGCACACAGTATATGTAGGAATCCAAACTAGGGTTGTCACCTGTCCGGGATTCACCTGGACAGTCCGGGTTTTGAATGCTGTGTCCGGGTTTCATGGCACCAGGAACCCGGACACAAGATGTCAGGCAGACAGGGGCAACCAAAATTAAGATAGGGGTACTGGCCCCCCCACTGAAAACAGTCTCAACTGTGATATTTACATATTAATGGGTGGTTCCTTTTACACATGAATAAGCCACGACTCATTCCCCCCCCCAAAAAATATGTCCGCATGTCGCTAGAGTGTTCGGGTTTCGCTTGAAGAAAAGGTGGCAACCCTGATCCAAACGTTACACCAATTACAATAGTTTGGATACAACTGTATTCCATTAGGGTCAAGGGACATTCAAGTAGAGCAGCAAATGCAATTTGGGGGGGGGGGGGGG